CGGTTGGTCTGTACAAATAAATTGGGAAATAAATTGAACTTTGACCTCAAAACCGTTCAATGAATTTGTGAAAAATTTGATAATAAATGAAATTATTTTTATTCTTTCTATAGCTTTAAATAAGTTATGATGAGAACTTAGTGGAAAGCAATAATAAATGAAGAAATAATTTGGGTATAATTACATTAAAAATAAAATATGCATATTAAGCTTTTTCCCATAATGGCATTTTACAACACCCACAAACGTCTCTCACAACATTCACGCAACAAAATTCTCGTCTTAGAATCTTAATAAGCGTCCATAATAAATTACAGTAATAATCGTTACTTATTTTGAAACGCAAATTTAATTTTTAACAATTACAAACTAAAAAACTTTGTGTGATATTTTTCATTGCAACCCGTATCGAGACTTACAAGTAAATAAAACTTTATAACTTCAGAAATTCTGTTTTGATTAATTTTTCAGCTCTGCGTATGTCTTCTTAATCCAATAAAGTAGTAAAATCGCACGTGGTCGACTTAGAGATTAAATTAACTAGTTTGTCAAAAAACATACTTTGCGTTTTTTTTTCAGTGAAGTTTTGTTTCGAGCCAATGTCAAAAACTTCCTATTGCTCCGGATATTTTTGTTTTGTTTATTGATATTTATGTGTTGAATGTATTTTTTAGGTTTAGATTATGGAATTATGGGACTGTCGTCGTTATCCTGTGAATGAAAGTAACAAAAACCTAAATAAAACAAGATTTAAAAAATGCCCAAGATATTCCAAAAATCAAAACTGCGGAAAAGTTCCTTTATTAAAAGCTATTATTACTAGTACCTTACCTTTTAACTGTGATGTAAAAAATAAGTATAGATTATGCACTTATTATTAAACGCAATATTTACTTTACCGTTTTAAAGATCTAAGGAGTTTCTATCTATCTAACTACTACTATAACTATTCTATCTATTTTTTTTATTACCAACCTGATCAACAATCAAACGAAATTCTGGTTACCGGAATGATACCTTGTGATAAGCCATAATGAATAGCATACCCAGCGTAGTGACTACAGGTTTGCGCTTATACTCACCACGCTGGGTCTACTACGGCAACGTCTACTCACTTCTGTTTCTTTTAAAAATATATTCCAGAGATCTTTCTTGAAAAGAACATTAAATATTAGGGGTTTTAAAAAAAAATAATATGGAACTATCGCAGTTACAGTTTTGTATTTGCGTATGGTGATCTGCCCTAATCACCATATTTGGCAGGAGGGTTGACAATTGCAGTACCAGAGTTCTCACACTTTTGACAATATTAGAAATTTTTATACTTTATTCTTTTATTTAAATTATGGCATATTTTATAATTAAAATATACAAAAAAAAGTTTAATTGGAGTTCAATAGAGAGAAGATGCTGAAAAGACGACTGAAGAGAAAATTTTAATTGCGCCAGTGCTTCATAAATTAAATGCAGCTGCGATTTCGACGTCAACCACTAGAATAACGAGGAAGTTAATTTTTGTGCAATAATAAGGTTACACTTTACTTTATTTCGGACATAATTCGTCCATATTAAGTGTAAGTATATTACTAACAATTTTACTTATTAACGATGTTAGTAATGTTAGTATTTATACTACGTTATAATTATATATACATACAAAATTCATTGACATTTTAGTCTTATTGCCAGCTCTACCCAGTGTCGCTGAAAGTGGCAATCTGGTCTCGCCGCGATCATTTTTAAAATGCTATTGTTACTGTTTCGCAGACGCTGTAACATTGAGGCTGATTTCTTTCGCATAACAGCATGAAATCCATCAGTCCTAGCATCCGCGAACATTTTCGAAGCACTACACCGCCATGGCAGTCCTAATAGCATCCTAAAAGCGTTATTGTATTGTATGCGAAGGGCGCTGTAAGCTCGTCGCCTGTATGATACCCACAGGCTACTCGAGTAAAAAGGTTGGCAAAATGCTTTGAAAAGAGTAACTTTTACGTCATCTGTACATCGAGCAAACCTGCGGGCAAGCATATTGCTCCCAACTGCCAGCCCCCTACACTCTCTCTCTCTATACAAAATCATCGCTTAAATCGCTCGTTATAATGTGACCGAGATACTTAAAAGTATTAACAATATTTAGGGCTACACCATTGAGGTATACGAGAGGAACACAACGCGGCGGTTGTTTCGGTGCTGTAAAAACAAAAATTTCACTCTTTTTCGAGTTGTACTTCAAGCCGTGGTCCTTCGCATATTTCTCGCAAATAGACAATAATTTTCTTAACCCGCCTATAGATTGACTGAACAGCACCATATCGTCTGCATAGCTTATATTATTAACACATGTCCGGTCAATATGACAGCCGACATGTGTGCTAACCAGTTCCACGATAAGCTGGTTAATATATAAATTAAATAACAACGGTGAGCTTAAACCGCCTTCTCTGACACCAAATGTTAGTCTATATTCATCTGATAGCGTACTCGCCCATCTCACCTGGTTTTTTGATTACTGTACCAGAACTCGATCAGAGAAGTATAATCCGCCGGCACACCTGCGTCCCTCAACTTGCTCCATAGTATATCATAATTGACCGAGTCAAAAGCCTTGGACAAGTCGAGAAAACACGCGTTCTCCTAGCCGTGTAATAACCGACAGTATGCTTCAATGTAAGAATTGCACTTTTCGTCGACAATCCCACCCTGAATCCGAACTGGGCATATGCACATCTACATATTTTATGAGGCAACCATTTAACAAACTGTCAAGTACTTTTACCGCGGTGGTAACAAGTGAGATGGGCCTGTAGTTGCAAATATCAGAAGCATCACCTGTCTTATTTTTAATAATTGGTACCACTATTGTTCGCATCAGTCCCTCAGGCAAATACGAGTGACCCAGACACACTGTAAAAAACATGGCAAGAACCCATGGTAAATGGATCCCTTCGTATTTGAAATGTTCAATACTGAGCCCATCGTGACCCGGAGACTTCCCACACTGCGTTATTTTAATAATCTGAGCCACCATTTTAGCAGGTATCTTAACATTACGTTCCTTCACGATGGTCTCACTATCGCTCATCTCCTTACACATGGGACTTAAGAGTGACTGCATGGTGAACTGTTTCCTAAAAGCATTCGCAATGTCTTTATGGTCATGAGCACCACCAACGTCCACAGTGAGACACGGCCTTATATTCATTTTATTTGTGTTTTTCCAGAAATTTTTAAACTTTTTCGAGGAGTGGTCGGAAGCAAGGCGACCCATTTTAAGTTGCTCCTGCCTGTCCTGGTACCATTCAAGTTTCGCTTTAAAATTCCTCCTTGCCTCCGACATATCGTGAAAAATTCGACCACTAGCTGGCCGCCCGCCTAAATTCCACAATTTAAATTTCAGCCTTGCCTCCCGGTGGGGTCCCACGATATGTTTATTCCATCCAAAAACATAACCTCCCTTCTTTTGACACTTAACTTTGTGTGTTTGGATAGCTGCCTCTGACAATATATTTATAATATCTAAATATAACTTATCTAAGATTAAGTGATGATTCTTGTATTACAGAACTCATCACAACAAGCACTTAGTTCCTGTGGAAATTCAATGAGTCTTAACTTAGTATGACAGAGGTCATGGTACTGACGGATTTGCTGCTGCTGTCTCTCTCCCTATATAACACGATTTATTGGTTGTTCTGTATCCAATTTAGCTACTTTTGGCTTAAGTTTACCCAGATTACATACGACTACTAGTGGATAGTGGTCAGACCAATACACGTCATATTTAACCGTTACGCTAACGATTGTATTCCGCGCCGACTCTGTGACAATGCAGTGATCCAACCATCTATTACAACCGTGAGCCTCACTACAATAAGTATAAGTATTACTGGCACACATATTTAAATCTACACAAATCCAATTAAGATCCACACAGAAGTCCAACATTACATTATAAAATAATTCACTAGGGTGTGCATTAAAGTCTCCTAAGATATAAAAAGCCGATACTCCACTGTTCTCCTCTATTTCTATTATAGAGTGAATGGCTCCAAGACACGCAGTAAACTCGGAAAGGTTATCATATGAGTTTGTAGGCATATACACACTGAACATAACTACCGATCTATTACTCACGTTTAGCTTTATCGCGCAGATCCTCTCGTTATCACACTCAATCACATTCACTGACTCGAAGGCACACTTACGCCATAACAGCGCCACCCCTCCATACAGCCTCCCGCTGAGTAAGCCGGCCGCAGTATCGACTGCAGAGGTACCGGTAGGCCCAAAGTTGCTGTCAATCGTGATAAGTATAGACAGATCATGTGGCAACAACCACGTCTCTTGGAGAGCTACCACATCAGCTGTCTGACACAAGGTCCTCACTCCTTCTATTGACCTTTTGATAGATTTGCAATTAAAACTAATTACTTTACTGTATTTTTCCATCAACTTTCTTAATTTATATTTATATAATATCTCGATGTAAAATACTGAGCTACAATATTTTATATATATAAATTTGTTTATATTTTAATTTATATATGTTTATTTTCTGTAATTTCTTTTTTCTCGTGTACCATAGAAGTTCACAAACCGTCTAAACGATATACCAGATGGCCACAGCTTATCGTCCAGGAATGTGTCAATCTTGTGGTGAACTACAAGCAATTTATAAGCATTGTAGTCTCTTTGTCGCTTCATTTGAATTTTTACAAGAGACACCTCTTCCCTCGTTTTTCATATATATAGTTAACAATGTCCTGTTCATCCACATCCTTATGTACGTTAGATATAAAAAGGGGCAACTGTGTATCAGCGGCCTTAAACTTTAGACTTTAAATCTACCGCCGTTCCTTTTTGACTCATAAATCGGTTTCTTAGTTTCCGTTTCTGGGCTACGATCCATTCTTCGCTCCTTTTTGGTTCTTTCCATTCTCCATCTCTCTTAACCATCTCAGAAAAAGTCTTGCGCTTCGCATTAATGTGTCATTTGCTTATTCATCCTTATCAGTTAACGCATCGAACGGTTTTCTAGCATGCCCATCAGCTGCTTCATTCACTCCAGGTATAAACGGTCGCGCTGTACTATGAATAATTGTGCACTCACCTACTATCCCATTCACACATCGTGAGCATGTGTATTGTAATACACTCGCTGGAGATTGCGACTTCTCTTTCACATTTGTTATAAATTTTGGCGATGAGTGACGGGAATGCATAGATTCTTGGTGTGATTTATTAGACAGAGATGTACACTTTTCTGGTTCATTAGCCTCGGCAATGTATGACGCATTATTACAAGATGTTGAGAGCGCCATCGTTCCGCTATAGTACATAAATTTGTCATACCACCTCTTTTGTTTACAATGTTTTGTTCACGGTTAGGAAACGAAGTTAATTTAAAATACTCATTTATTTCATCATGAAGTTGGTTTTTCGTAACGTATTGATGTCGAATGTCATGAATGGTTTTCTCTAATAGTACTATCTATTTAAGCAACACTGTCACATCAACATGATCAAACGTTACGGGTGGTAGTTTTTCTAATCGTCTTGCTGCAAAAATTGGTACCTGTTCGGGGTCTGTTCCTTTAAGCAAGCAGATAATATCTTCAATATTCCTTAGAGTTTTGCCCTGTCTTTTTCTAATTTTTGGTCGCTTGCTCACTGATTCAAATAATAACGACTTCGGTAATTCAATTTCTTCAGCACTAAAAGAACTTTCACAAATCTGTATCAAGCTTTGTTCATCCATCACATCTAGTTTATTTTGCACAAAGGCCAATACTTCACAGATTACAATTTGAACACTTCAATCGCTTCGATATGCTATCCATTGCAACGGCAATGATCTTTGACAGCGTGCGCTTGCGTTCACGGTCTCGACCCGACTGTTATTAAAAGCATGTATTGTTTTGGCTTAAAACTTGATTTAAAGTAGTAAAAATGTTAAACGTTTTTTATTACTGACGCAAACACACATGTGTATGTGTGTTTGCGTCATTACACGCACGCATAAGGTACATTGTAAGTTATTAAACAGAACTACTTCAAAGGAGAAAAAATATTAATAAAGAAAGGGCTACTCACTAGCGCATATCTGTCATTTATGTAGATATGTGAGTGTGTGTCTCCCTCTCTGTCAACCTCTATATCTCTCTTTCTTTCTCTCTCGATCTCTCTCTCTCTTTTAAGTGTGTGTGTGTGTGTGTGTGCGTGTGTGTGTGTGTGTGTGTGTGTGTGTGTGTGTGTGTGTGTGTGTGTGTGTGTGTGTGTGGGTGTGTGTGTACGCATGCGTGCATGCGTAAGTGCGTTCGTACTTGCTTGCGTGAGTGCGTGCATATGTGCGTGGGTGCATGTGTGCGAGGTGCACGCGTGCGTACGTGCGTAATATAGTTATTGAATTATTCCGTAAAAAAAATTTGCTACCTCAGAAACACGTAATGGCCGTCGGGCGCTTAGTCTCTCTCCGATCATGTCGAATTACCTTCCCATCAGACTATGAGAGTGAGGGAATAAAGAGCGCATAAGTGCTTGCGCATACACTGGGGTCTCCACGGATATTGGCCGCCGTCACCGAAATTCAATCTCGAGGACATTATTATTGATATCGCACTCTTTTATATTATACTTATTATTAATTATTTTATATAGACGTGGAATAATAACATCAAACTTCTTCGAATAAAGTTCAAAATATGGAATAATTTAATTACAATTAATAGAATCACGGAAGTTCAGACAAATAAAAATTGGTTCGCAAAGACCTTTCATTTGAATTTTGTGAGTAAAAACAGGTCCGAGCGAAATTAAATTTGCTTTAATTCTCAAGCGAAATTTAATTTGTTTTGCAACGAATTTGAAATATTACAGTTTCGTTACAATTTTATATTCGAAGTAATTCTTATGACATTTTTACAAATGAAAATTACACAATACCAATTGCAATGTAGTCGAATAATAGTACATAATACTTTGATTATATAAAAGGATAATGCCGTTTCTTACTGAAACATTCAGGTGTTGGTTTTTTATAGGTGGCAAACGAATACACAATCTATCTGATAAGTGGATTCTATGGCCCATAGCATCCACATTTCTCGATTAAGAATCAAAGGCAGATACGTTGTCACCCCTCCTGAAAATATGGGAACGGTACATACCTGTACCGTTCTACCACGTGTAAGTTTAATCGAAGAATTTTGTAAAAAAATGTTTTAATAACGAATCATTGAAAATTCAGGTAAAATTTTAATTCAAAGTGACCACTGTACTAAAACTACATTTTCGTACTTGAACTTCTATTATTTAAGACCAAAATTTACATTTAATAAGGCGGAGATAAAGAGACTTGTGCCAAACAATGAGACATATACCTATATCTAGACTGGCATGTTACAGAAAGGCTCAAAATAACGTTGAAAAAGGATTTTATAAATTATTTTATTTATAAGTTAATTTAATTAAAAAATCTTAACTCAAGAAAGGCACCATGTGCTGACAATATTGCGATTGCTGACATTAAAATGATAGGGGAATATATTTCCCCAACTATCTCTGATCTAATTAACAGTAGCATTAAAAGTCTGTATCCTGATAAATTGAAAGAAGGCTGTGTCAGACCTGTACATAAGAAAGGAAAACGTGATGACTACTCGAACTATCGCCCAATTACATTACTTTCATCAATTGATAAAAATGTTGAATTTTCAATTCATAAGCGACCAAATACAAAAATTTTATAGGAATAACACTGTAATAAGCCCGTATCAGTTTGGTTTTCAATTAGGAAAATTACAACAGGATTCTTATCAAAATTTACTGATGAAGTGAATAGTCATCTAAATGAAAAAAGACAGGTGCTTGCCCTATTTATCGACTTCTGAATGATGATGTGGACGATTAGAAAAAGTGGATGTCTACTTTTGGTGCTTGAAGAACCGAAAATCTTTTGTCAAAATTGAAAACAACTACAGCGAGCCGATGTTGATAACGGAGGGAACAGCACAAGGTTCGGTACTAGGACCCTTGCACTTTTTGTCCTACGTCAATGACATGGGCAACTACATCGTCAATTGCACATGCTACCAGTTTGCAGATGACACTTGTCTTGTAACCGGTGACAAAAATCCACAAAAGGCATGTGACCGTTTGCAGTCTGACCTAGATATCCTATCAAGGTGGTGCCATGATGCTGGACTTGTCCTTAATGCTAGTAAAACTAAGTTGTTAGTAATTAAATCTCCATACCTAAAACCGGCTTCAATTAAAAAAATAGTTGCACACAACCACATCTGCCTACATAATAACCGCGCTACTGAATGCTGCTGCCCAGAAATTCAGGTCGTTGACACACAAACGTATCTCGGGCTAGTTATTGACAGTAAATTAAACTGGAGCCAGCATATTGACTGTGTATGTACTAAACTAAGACAGTTTTTAGCAAATATCACTATTCTCAATAATCGCATTCCTTTTAAAATAAAGTTAATGTTATATAATGCACTTGCGGAGTCGCATATTCAATACGGGCTAAGTAGCTACGGCCGAACTTACAAAACATATCTTGACCAGATCCATAGTTTACAAGTAAGAATACTCGATACTATAGTTCCAAATAAAATAAAAAATAAATTCAGGGATGACGTTAATGGTCTCTTTAAACATTGTTAAATTTTACCAATACATATACAAGTACAAAATATTTTATTAAAAGAACATTTTTTTAATGAATCGCTAAAAATCCCGAATTCTGTGTTTACAGAGAAATTTCTAAAAACTTGAGAATATGGTGTTGACACCGATTTTCTTCCCCGAGTACTGGTAGTTGATCTCGATCGCTCAGAGGATAAATATACTGAGCTTTCTCGATAACGACACGACGTGGATGATAATGATGGGCAAGACGGTTGCATTGTTGATGGAGACTGCGTCCTCGGTGGAGGAGGATGTTGCGTCATTAATGAAGCTGGAGGTTGCGGCGTCGATGTAGATGGAGGTTGCACCACCGGAGGACACATCAATAGTGATGTTTGGCGACTTGTTTCTTCATCTTCATTAGGATTTTCACCATCGAAAAGTTTTTCGCAAGCCAATTGATCAAATAGGGTATTTGGTTCAAATTCCAAGTCGTCATCATCAAAATCTTCAATCTCCGATAGATTTCCGTTCATCAATTGGTCTAATATTACATCATCCGTAATTGGAACCCCTAATAAAGAAGAAAAGGCTATTTAAATACTGTATAGGATCAAAATAACAAAATGTAACAACATCACGTGCTACGACCGATGTTGCATGATCGTGCGTGTTTAATTTTGGCAGAAAATAATTACGAAACTAATGCTTCAATTTGCAAAAACTTGATAAGTAAACCTACAGGCACTCGTATCTAATCAAATAGCATCAAATAATATAAAATATTCCAATACAATTACTAAAAATCGATCTACTTACGTGCGGGGGCACCGGGATTACAAAAACGCAGCCATCCCTCATGCGGCTTTCGACGATCTGGCAGGACGAAACGCGAGCACAGAGACTAAAACTATTTTTTGTCTCATTTTTAAGTAGACTCACGATAGATCGACGCCGGTTACGTACGCTTAAGTTGTTTATATTTTTCCTTAGAATTTTGTAAAGTCGAAACTCACGATCAGTTTAACTCGGGTGGAAAGGGATTAATCCTCAAAATAATCTCTGTTTACGCGTTCACATAAAGACAAATGCTTTAGAATAGGGTGACCACTATTTATTCCACTTTTGAACAATAAGTTTGTGCGCTAAAACAGAGTCTTGTTCAAATATCTCTTAATATTAACAAAAAAGCTCCTGATTTCACAGAATTTCAGTTTAAAGGATGCCTCTTTAATAATTTACTTTGTGAATTTCGACACCCCTTACTAAAAAAAATCGAGTAATTTGCCAGTGACGAAAGTTTCATTTCAAACCATAACTGTTAGAGCATTTTGTCGATGTAAAACAACTTTAGCAACGCCTGAATGAAGACCAGATCTCGTCATTTTATTGATTATTGGCTGTTTTATTACAAAAATGTCTCGGTAGATACGATACTTTGCTAATTTAATCCTTTGGGCGTAGTTAAAGCATTTTGTCTTGAAATTTTAAAACTTTTTGTCTTTGTTTGTAAGCAATTGCGCTCTGAGTTGATACGATACTAATTCAATTGGAATACATTAAAATAAAAGTTGTATCTCGCGGTCTCACACGTGTCTGAGCCACTCGACATTACGTGACACCTAGTTCAAGCATTTTAGCTAGCAATGTATGGAAAAATTGGCAAAATTAATGAGTACTTTTATCTGTCGACATACGTACGATATAGAGCATCAAATTTTATCTACTCTCCCTCCCTTTTTCGGGTTACGTCACACCCTCACACCCCTCGCACCCCAAAAAATATCCCAAGGGACGGCATTTTTTAGTTTTGAAGTAAACCGTACACGACACTTTAAAAGTGTACACGTAAGAAATGAGCCTGTGATGTAAAATGAGAAAAAGTGATTAGAAATATACCTCTTTTTAAGAAACATATTTCATTCTGTACTTTAACTTTATATATCATGGCGATAAAGTGAGAAATTTACGATATCACTAAATCATCAATAAATGACAAAAAATGTAAATATTTCCTGGCAGATTGCGCGAAAACTATAAGAGATATCGTTTCTGTATGACAAAGTTGATAGCAAATTTATCAGGAATCATTTTGTATGAGAGGGTATTTTTCCGTACTGATACGACTTAGGAACCTTCAAGAAAAGAGCTTACTCCTTCCTAAAAGGCCGGCAACGCAGCTGTAATTCCCCTGGTGTTGCGGTTGTTCATAGGCGGCGGTAGTCACTTACCAACAGGTGAGCGATATTCTCGTTTGCCATATCTATTATAAAAAAATCCTACACGATACATAAAAAGTGTACACCACACAAAATGATTCCTGATAAATATACAGGGGTGCAAGGACGATGTTTGGTGATACGAATCTAGGTCTGGGTCCTTCCGTAATCTTACATCTAGCAAAAAATATTCCCCCAGGTAGCTGCGTTTACCACAACAGATATTTTACCACCGTTCCTTTGATTGAAGAAATGAACAAGTTAAATCTGCATTCGATTGGGACAATAATGTTGAATCGTATCCCTGATCGATCCAACTGTACTGGCTCTGCCGCGACGATTATCGTTAAAAGGTGGGATAAAACCGTTAGACGGTACGTTGACGTGACTGCTCCAAAAATAGTAAAAAATTATAATCAACATATGGGAGGAGTTGATGTCCTGGATCAACAGATGGAGTGTTATAGAACTTTTATAAAAACAAAAAATGGACCTTAAAATTGTTAACACACTTTTTTGACCTCGCGCTCGTAAACTCTTGGAGGCTGTATAGAAACGACTGCAGAAAGAAAACAGAAACAATTATGCAAGGAAAGACACGATGCCTTTACTCGATTTCCGCTTGGATGTGGCAGATGCCTTATCTTGTACACCAAGTAGAACTCGAAGGGATAGTGAAGATGATTACCATGTATCATCTCCTAGTCGTGACTATAAAATATACAGACCAGCAAATAGACAGTCAGCAGAAAAACGATATGATGGGTATGACCATTTTCCCACCAGCGACGACATAAAAGCGCCGAGGACTTGTAGATTGGAAACCTACAGTCGTTCAAAAATTAGGTGTGATAAATGTAATGTGTATTTATGCTTATCCCGTGATAAAAATTGTTTTAAGGCTTATCATATACAATAATAAGTCGATCTCATTGATTGTTATAAGTAAAACCTAAGATCTTGTTGATTGTTGAAGTAATTATAGTTTATTTTTGTTCCGATTATAGAAATTAGGAAGATCTCATTTGTAATACGTTATTTTATAAATAATTACAGTTTATTTTTATATATAATTGTAATACAGACCGATTAAAGTAATAGCGAAGCGAAAATACCACTAACTGACTTGAAATTTTGTATAGTTTCTTATTTCGCATTGTAGACGCTCAATAAGAACTCAAACAAAATTCTTAATATTTTACGTCTAGGCTCCTCAGTAAAAACTACGGTTGACCCTACAGGCCATTCCTGAAACTTCCTGCTAATTTCAAATGCAAAACGCTTCAAAATTTACCTGTTACGAAGTTTTTGAGCTCTTCGAGTTTTATGATTTTGATGCGGTGTGCGGCTATCGACGCAGTTTTATGAGCTTAACAAAAACATTTATCATAAAAAATTAATTTGAAGAAATTTTCTGATTCGGACAGCTTGTACAGTAAATGACCCTTCTGAAACTTGTGAGCTAGCATTTTTAACATCAAATTTTCCGATAACCTCAAAAGTCACAAGTATGGGTCATTGAGACGCTTAACCGATTATTTAGGTAAGAAGGGTCGGACGGATTGAAAAGCACATCATAAAAGAGCCTAAAAATATCATTAGTTATAATCTTATCCGATCAGAAGAACGTCGATGGTACATGGTAATAAATAAAAAATACTATTGACTAATGATTTTTTTTGCAAAGTTAAAAGGATCTTATTTTATTTTGTTTGTTATACGGGACATTTCCCTCCCTTTCCCCGTGTGAGGCCAAAGATATTTTATACTTTATGATCTGCAGTGTATTTGTTCTGGACAGTTTTAAAATAATCAATGTGTTATTTATAGCGGTTATAGGTTATATTTGATCTTAATGTGGCTGAAAGTGGAAATATGAGAAACCCCGAGCGGCTCATAAATCATGAGCGGCTGTAACAAGATACTTTGAGCAAATTATTAACGTAACACCATGGATAGTATGGTTAGCACATCGCTCATGTCACTTAAAATTTATGACAAATTATGATTTATAAAACGAGTATTTGTTTAGATAACACTACTATACATATACGTCTTATTAATTAACACACGTACAATTAATCTCCAAATTTTTACATGTTAATGCAATTTAAAACATTTCTTTCATTTGAGTATTTTAAATCATCAACAATTCACATAATATTTAACCAATAATATAAACTTAATTTATCATACAGTCCTACTCCCTGCGTTATAATGGCAAGAATGTCTAAAATTTGCCATTGAGCGATAAAAGAAACGGCCCTCTTGCCACAACAGCAAATAAATACAATTTTATGTAAATCAATAAAACGAATATTAGTAAAGCATACTCATCATCATCATCATCATCATCATAACAGCCCTTCACAAGTCTACTACGCGGCATAATAAAATACTATATTTTAATTTTATTAAGCTTAACTATTTTTTTGTTTAGCTTTTAAATTTTGTCACTACATTTGTCACCTCACTACAGAGCTGAGTAAATTTCATTAAACTTTAAATTTCATGGAAACTAAACTAAAACGTAGTATTAACTAAATAATTAACCTGCTTGTGACTTATGAGACGCCTTTCAGTTAGATATAGCCTAGTTCGGCGTAAGATGCTTCTTAGCAACAAGTTATAAATATATGGTTATGCTCTGGGTTTTGCTGAAGTTACACTTGTTTAGGTTACACTTTTGTTACATAAGCACATAATTATATAAATCTTATATAATTATGTGCTTATGTAATTGCTTATGTAACAAAAGTGTAACCTAAACAAGGTAAACACTTGTTTAGGTTACACTTTTGTTACATAAGCACATAATTATATAAATCTTTTCTTCGTTTTTCTAGGCACATAAACCTCTACCACAGTACATGAATTTGATTCGAGATGGATTTGGAGTTTGGCAAGCGGTTTGGTGATCGCTGTACCAAACGACGCACACTAGAATTTTACATGCTACTTTAATACCGTTCTGGGTATTTCCGCCATCTTCCGGAATACATGAGACGTTTATCAAATGTCTTACAGCCGCTTACTAAAATACCCGCGGGGCGAACGAGGTGATGAATTTTCTTGTTTTTCCAAGACACGGCTGGCAAAATATTGCATTTAGTGTTATAAAAGGCTTTATAACATCTCACTAATTAGATTTTAAAAGTTGAATTACATAAATTTATAAATAAAATAATCTCTTACTAAAAATTTGATTATCTACTTATTGTTAATTACGGTATTCTTTATAGAATAAGCAATCATTTAGACTCATTTACGACTCAAATAGATATAAAATCGTGACATATAAATTCTTAATTAACATGAGTTCGGAAGTTTTCAATTTAAAGCAATTTATACGATTTTTTTGAAATTTTCATTTAAATGGGTTGATAAATCGCCATTCGAACGAGAAGGCAGTCTACATGCACTAATATCCCCCGATTATAAGTAAAAATTAAAGTTCGAGAAGACCCATTTATACTCCAACCATAATTTATCTGTAGCATGGACGTAAATAAATAATATAATATGAGTTAAATGTATTAAAAGTTAGCATTTTAACTATATGGTTGCTTTATGGTTGCTCCACCTCTACTTAACGTTTTTGATGAAATATGAGAGTAGGTACTTACATACTGTAAAATATTTAGGCGATAGTATAAATTTATACGATACCCAACGCCTGTGATAT